TAAATAACCCCACCTCCATCCTAATCCCCTCCCATCTATTTAACCTCAAAACAAACGGGGCCCTAAGGTATTGGTGAAGGATGAAGAGATTAAGGAAAGATGAAAGAATTATTTTGAGAAACCATTAAATGAGGCACATGGAGGTACGGCAATAGGGGAAGAAATAGCCAGTAATACCATAAACCAAGACTATAGGTTCTATCGCAGGAATGGGAACTTTGAAGAGGAGATTACACTTAAGAAGATGAAATCAAATAAGGCTTTAGGACCCGAGGATATCTCTATTGAAGCTTGGAAGTGTTTGAGTAACAAGAGAGTTGCTTGGTTGACTAGGTTGTTTAGTAAAATTTTATTGACTAGGAACATGCCAGATGAGTGGAGGAAGAGTATTTTAGTGCTAATCTATAAGAATAAAGGAGATGACCAAAATTGCAACAACTATAGACGAATCAAGCTAATGTGTCATATAATGAAAGTGTGGGAGAGTGATGGAACGCCGTATAATGGAGGTGTCAGATAATCAATTCGGGTTTATGCCTGACAGGTCAACAATGGAAGCGATCTATCTTTGAGGAGAGTAATAGAAAAATACAGAGAAAAGAAAAGAAACATTCATATGGTGTTTATTGACCTTGAAAAAGCATATGATAGAGTGTCCCGGGATATATATGGTAGGTGTTAGATAAGAAAGGGGTGACAAAAGGTTACATTGATATACTTAGGGACATATATGAAGGGGTGGTGACCATTATTAGATCGCCTGTTGGAGAGACAAATGAGTTCCCTATCACTATAGGGTTATATCAATGATCAACCTTAAGTCCTTATCTTTTTGCTTTAGTTATGGATGAGTTGACAAAAAATATTCAGGATGACGTGCCATGGTGTATACTTTTTGCAGACGATATTGTGTTAGTGGATGAGACTAGAGAAGGAGTTAACACAAAGTTAGAGATTTTGAGAAAAACTCTTGCATCTAAAGGATTTCGGATAAGCAGAATTAAGACAGAGTACATGAAGGGTAAATTTAGTAACAATAACAATGAAAGTAGAGGAGAAGTGAAGATTGAGAACTAAGAATTGCTTAAGAGTGAATATTTTCGTTATTTAAGGTCGATTATCACAACAGCGGGGGAGATTGATGTGGATGTGGCCCATAGGATTAAGGCGGGATGGTGTAAGTGGAAAAGTGCGTCTGGGGTACTGTGCGATAAACGAATACCCACTAGACTAAAAGGTAAGTTCTATAGAACGGCTATTAGACTAATAATATTGTATGGGACGGAGTGTTGGGCAACCAAAAAACAACATATAGATAAGATGAGTGTGGCTGAGATGAGGATGCTAAGGTGGATGTGTGGTAAGATTAGAGGAATGCGTGTATTCAGGAATGGGTTGGAGTAGCACCCATAGAAGATAAGTTGAGAGAGAATCGATTGAGATGGTTTGGTCATATTCAACGGAGACCAACAGAGACAGTAGTGAATAGATGCGATGCTGTAACGGTAGATGGAAGTGTTAGGGGATGTGGTAAATTAACGTTGGCTAGTATAGTAAATAGATATATGGATTTACTTAATTTGACTAATGAAATGGCCTTTGATAGGATCGCGTAGAGAAGAAAGATTCATGTAGCCGACCCCATTTAATGGGACTTAAGGTTTGATTTGGTATTATATTTTTCACAATATCTTCACTTTTTTTTAATAGAATATAGACTCATTTTGTGTATACTTTTTAGAAAATATTTATTTAAATTAAATTATTATGTAATTTGTCTTTTTCGGTAGGATTTTACGATCCTTGATCCGATCCTATAAATACCTCCAGGGCCGGCCCTGCCCTAAGGCAGGTAAGGCTTGTGCCTTAGGCCCCATATTTTGGCCCAAAAATAGGGCCCCTAAATTTAAAAAATTATTATAGGTTCAACTTTTTTTTTTTTGTTGGTTTTAAGATCAATTTAAAGGGCCCCAAATGTTTTATTGGGCCCATGTATAATTTAGCCCATATTTATTTATAAATGTGTTTGGCCCGTTAGACACACACACAGGGGATAGATAGAGAGAAGGGAGAGTGTTTAGTGTTTAGTGTATGTCTCACCAAATGTTCATCTGTCCGCGTATGGGGGGCGCAGACATGTTTATATACCCTCTGCGCCCCATATCCACTCCCAGTCATCTCCTGACACGTGGCTCCGCTATCCCATCTGTCAGCATAAACCTTGCTGAACACCACCTAACCCAACTGCCAGCCCACTCTACTGGGAGCTCGGCAGCCGGGCTGCAGCTTCTCGGCTGCCAACAGCCATACTCCACTTCAAGACCAAGTGCTTCCAATAACCGAGCTTCGTTTCAGCCGTGCTCGACCGCATTCCGGCGACGCCGAGCACGGGATTGGTCATTCCGGTCAACCAAAGGCCTTCCTACCGAGCTTCAGGCACGAATCTTCACGCCGAGCTATGGGTGCGCGCCTTCCGACTGAGCAACGCACAAACCATGAAGCCCTTCTAGGCCGCGGACGTCTCAGCCGAGCTCTCACTTGACCGGCCTTCATACCAAAGAGCCCAAGTAGCTCGGCTCCGCAGGCCCTTTGCCATTACTGAGCAAAACCACGGCACAATCTTGAAGCCAAATACCTCGGCCCAATCTTGTTTGGCCGAAACTAGATCATAAATCTCCCTCTCATATGTGTAAGTAAATTTTTTTATGGTTACAAACAAATAAAAAAATTGTAACTTATCATTTTATTCATGAATTTTTTTTCAATATAAAAGGGCCCCATTTATGAAATTCGCCTTAGGCCCCGACGAACTCAGGGCCGGCCCTGAATACCTCCAACGATCCAACGTAGGATCCCAATCTTAACAACCTTGATTAAAACCTTGTTGCAAAAATAAGAACCAACAATATTATCCAGCAATACAAGTAGTGAATCAATGGATTCGGAAATAATGGATGTCACTTTGTGCAGTTATGCTATTTAATATATAGAACTAACAAATTAGAGCTCAAATAAATCAACTAGAAATGCATTATGCCTTAAGTTGAAAAGCTCATACCACACTTCTCCTTAAAATTCAAGTGTTAAAAAGAGGGAAACTAAAACTTTATAACCAACATAGATGGGGCAATTTTAGGCGATGTAGGACACATTCCAACACACCCTCTTGGATCACAACATACAATAACTGAACAAACGGCACACCAATCACATGCCCAACCAAGTTCTGATACCAAATTGAAAAGCACAAACCACACTTCTCCTTAGAACCCAAGTGTTAAGGAGAGGGAAAAAGAAACTAGAGCCTTATAACCAGCATAGATAGAACAATTCCAGGCGATGTGGGACACATGCCACCTTACTATATGGAGTAGGCTAAGCCCATTGCTTTCAATCAATCTTCTTTACTGAAAATCACAAGTCTTTCAATGAAGGCAGCTCAAAGAGATATAAAACCTAGTTCCAGTTCACCTGAACTTCACAAAACCTATCTTTTGTTGCCACCCGGCTCAACTAAAAAAATCCATAACCTCCTCTAAAATCATGGGATCAAAAAAGAGAACTCATAATGTTCATCGATTTTATTTTATTTTATTTTTTTTATATATATATTTTTTTATAATTCGTTGGCTAATAGTTACTCGAAGGATAATGCTCTATACAAATCTATACTATATATTAAGCAAAATGGAATTTTTAACCCCAAGCCTTGTGGGAGCTCCAATATCTCAATCTAAATTTCATGATTTTTTGATTTTTAAAAAAAAAAAATTTAGCATTTATTAACTTCTCCCAACTCCCAAGTCTTACTATTATAATAACACTTTAATGCATTAAGAACAAGCATAAAAAAAAATTCTTTCAAATCCAATACATATGAATTCCTTGAAAAATCCCAACACATATGATTATTATCCCTCATAATAACAGTTAAAAAAAAAAATCTTAGCATTTATTAACTTCTACCAAGTCTTACCATCATAATAACACTTTAATGCATTAAGAATAAATATAAAAAAAATTCTTTGAAATCCAACACATGAATTCCTTGAAAAGTCTCAACACATATGATTATTATCCCTTATAATAATATTTTAATGCATTAAGAACAAGCATAAAAAAAATTTTCTTGAAAAGTCCAACACATATGATTATTATCAAAATATTAAAATTTAATATAATATAATAATAAAAAAAGACATTTAATTCCTTGAAAAGTCCAACATATATGATTATTGTCAAAATATTAAACTTTAATATAATATAAAAAAGTAAAAAAAGAAACATTTAAAAAAAAAACATTTAAAAATCACAATTCACATATATAGATAATTATAAACACAATCCGTACATAGCACGGGTGATATACTAGTAAAATATTTATACAAAAAAGACCATCCAGAATGAGATGTCTCATTTATATCGATTAACTAAAAGCTCAAATGCTGATCACAACCCTTCATAATTGCAACAATTTCATTGCCACATCATTCTTTTATCTAAAATTTTGTATGAAAATTCTGTATGAATATAATTTTCCTTCCAACAACAAAAAAAAAAGAAAAAGAAAAAGAAAAAAAAGAAAAAAAAGACACACACACACACACAATAGCTAGTGCATAAATGTAACATAGCATCTACTACAAAATCTTAATAGGTATACTTATTGTATGATTAATGATATTTTTTTATCAAATACTATTAAAAAATATCATTAATTATTAATTTTCAGCAACAATTTAAAAATTGTCACAAGAAAATATCACTGATTATAAGTTTTAACATCTGTTTAAAAAAATAGTCCCAAAAAACGTATCTAATTTTTAATTTTCAACGCAAGTTTAAAAATTTTCATAAAAAAAATCACTAATTATAAGTTTTGACGTAGTTGAACAATTAGTGCAACTTTCTTCTGTTTTCCATCATTTTCTCAGCAACCAAACGGAAACAAAACAAACTGAAGCATAAAAATAAAAAATAAAAAATAAAAAGTGACGAACCAGGCATTGTGGCCACTGAAGAAGGCGGGCTTGGGTCAGAAGCCCTAGAAACCGAAGCTGAAGCTGAAGCCAAGGCTGCACGCTCTCTCTTCGAAATGTATCTGCCAGGAATCGGAGGCTCCGTTACGGACAAGGGTTTAGTGTGGGAACGAGGAGGCTCGGGTCTGGGTCGCTTCGATGGAGCCAGATGTTGGGGCTCGTCGTCATCGTCTGAAGCAGTTGAGTAGGCGTTGCAGAGTAAATCCATATATGAGAGAGCTTTTAGAGCATCTTCAATGGTCTGCTAAACAATCTGCCATTGCCAAAATACAGAAGCTTGAGTCAAATTCACAGAAATTGACAAACCAATTTCAAAAATTAACACGAGTTTTGCCAACTCAAAATCAAAATTGACCTAATTGTGTGAATTTGTTCCCAATTTTTGATCAAGTTCTGGTCTCGCCATCAAATCATAGAAATTACGGTGTTCGATGCGAAGCACGGCTTAGAAAAAACCAAAGCCCTAAAGCAAACGCACAACAAAGCCCAATAAACATGGCCCAACAAAATTGGGGAGTTAAAAACAAGGCCTAATAATGGGCCTTTTTCAGTGGATAGCACATCCGTGATTCGTATTCACTAGAAACTTGTTGATCTTGATATAGAAAAAAAAAAGAGAAAAAAGTGTGAGGGTCGCCCACAGGCCCAAATTGGACAATTCAGTCTTCTTAAAGAATTAGAGAAGCCTGACCCATAAATTTTTAGGGGCACTTCAAATAAGTCTCATATATAAAATTCAAAATCTATCTAGTTTCAAAACAAAATATTCGTACCAATTAGTTCTACATATTTTTAATTGTTACCAAAAAATTCTTTTTTTTTTTTAATTTTTTATAACTTTAAAAACGCTGCTACATTCCATCACTGCCAAACTTCCGTCAAACGATCACCGGAAACTCACCGGAATATTTAACATCACCAAGAAGTCGACGAAGTGTTCTGAACGCCATTAGAAGTCGCCAGAATGTCTATAGAATGTTCGTTGAATGTCAAGAACATCATTAGAAATTTATCGGAATGTCCAGAATATTGCCAAAAAAAAAGAATAAATGAAGAAATTATAGTGAAAAAAATCGCAAAATGGGCTAAATATTGATAAAATGAAAGGAAAAAAAAAACATAACAACAATAAACAATATTGGGAAAAAGGATATATTATTTTTTAATTTTTATAGGGTTTAAGCAAATAATCTCTAATATTGATCAAACTGAAAAGTTAGCTTTGAAACTGTAAAATGTTACAGTTTCAAAGTATGATTCTATTAAGCATTTATCCTTATTAATCAAACTGGAAAACATGTTATAAAACAGTAAAATTTTATAGTTTTAAAGCATGATTCATTTCAGCACAAAAAAAAAAAAATTTTGAAACTGTAAAATTTTACAGTTTTCACCGCCTGTAACTAAAACTTAAAAACAACTTGTTCAGAACTTGAAAATTTTCTCCATTAAAACAGGAAAATAGAAGTGTGTAGCAGAGAAAAGATTAAAAAAATTGAGAAATCGAAGGAAAAAAACAGATATAGAGAGAATATTGTACTCCATCAACTATTTTTAGTTTAGATCTAGTCAGATCTCATGTATATTTAGTCAAATCTGATGAAGATCCAGAGTAGATCTACATCAGATCTGAGTAGATCTACTCATCTTTTTTGTCAAAAACTCGTCTTTTTAGCCGTCGATGAGAGTGAAGTAAGAAGCCGATAGTCAGTGGTTGCCGGTGAACCGCAAGCAATGATGGTCATCGGTCAACGATGACTTCATATTAGAAAGAGAAAGAGAAGAAGTAAGGCATGGTCGCTGATTATCGAAAATTATGAAGAGAAAGAGGTAAAAAAAAACAAATGCACAGAGAAGAATGAAGAAAAAAAATACATAGTCGAATTTTGAGAGTATTCAAAAAGTTATGAAACTAAATAGACTTATCCTCTTTTAAATAGAACTTCTAATTAATTTGCTCAAATTTTTATATATCAAGTAATGTGTCGTCTCTCAACATGTTAATTGTGAAGGAGGCCTTCGGTCTTTCTAGTTTGTTTTGATGTTTTTTATCATCTAAAAAACAAAAATAAAATAAAATAATGTGTCGTCATTATATTAGTGTATACTATTTTATATACTACTCTATTATTACTATTATTAATATATAAAGCAAAACCTTAGTAGGAAAAAAAGAAAGCATTACTCCTCTATTATTACTACTACTATTATATAAATTAATTTTGCTTTATACGTGAAATCAAGATCTTGGTATGAGAAAGAAAATTCTTACCAAATGAGCAATATACATATTGTAATATTAATTTTTTTTTATTATTTATTTTTATTTTTACTTACTTAAGGTGTGTTGACCATTAGTAACTCATTATGTATAGACTATATTCAATATATAGTACTTTCAATCTACAAAATCATAAAATATTCAATACTAACGAAGATAGATATTAACAATTCCCCACAAGCTTTTCTCAATAATTCATCAGGATACTTTATTCATCGGTTTATACCACGATTTATCTCACCATTTAAACATGGCCTAAATGTGCAATTCTTTTGCCCAAGTCTCCCCCTTTTTTTAATATATATATATATTTTTTATGGGTCTTGTATATATCAAAAGTGGGAATCAGGCAATATGGGCCTAGATATAACTTCATTGACAATGTGTAGGGCTTTTTTTTTTTTTTTTTTTTTTTCCCACCAATAACCATCTTAACTTCTTTGCCTATAATTGCTCTCTGAAAACTAGGGAGAGATTGGGGAGGAGGGAGGTCCAGAACGTCAATCATGAAAGCTGAAGAAAGGGGATTGTAAGGGTAGGTCCAACCCATCACTTTTTTTCCACATTACCATCATTCATTCTTATAAAATGAAATCTCTTTGCATTATTGCACAGTCCTTAGAACCATTGCTTTTATGATTCCAAAATTTAAAAATAGAAACAAAACTTACCGAAGTTGTTTATAAAAAAAAATAAAGAAGAAAAGAAGGCAAGTTAAGCTTGTTGATGAAGCAAAAATGAGGTCATGCTGTGCTCTTGTCCTTGAAACTCCTCCCCCTCTAATGGTGACGCCCCATTTGTGCAATTTTAAACTAAAAGAACTAATCCCATTGCAAAACTAATTTCCATTGGCTCTAGATTCCAATACAAATTATAAAAAAAAAAACAAAAATTGTTATTAATGGGTGATTATTAGGCTAACCTAACATTAGAAATAGTTTGGAAAATTAACTCAAGAGGGAGGCAATCTTCTTAAGTTGTTCTAGTGAACTAATTAAATGATTATCAGTATATCGAGTTGATCAAGGTTTCATATCAACATTAGAAAGCCAAAATTCCTAAAGTCATGTAGTGTATTTGTATGAAGACTGTAGCCAACTTTCTAATAAGAATATCTAGAATTGACTATTATATAAGAGAGACACACTTTAATCTCAAGATAAGATGTTACGAAAATTTTAAATTCTAATTCTTCATCTGGTCTCCGAAATTTAATTCACCTTAAAATCAAAGAGTTTTTGTTTGTATTCCACCAATTCCATATCGAATTTACTATCCCCATTATTCGTTTAAGATGGCGTGGAGAGTTATGTTATTAAACTAACATTAGCTTTTGATAATAATTATAAAAAAAAGAAGAAAAGAAAGTAACATTAGCATTATCATTTATCCTTTAAAATTATAAAATTGAATTTAGTGTAACTTTGTGATGAGTGGACCCATTCATTGACCCAAAGAATGTTTTTATAGAATGCAAGTCAACCATCATTGTCAACGCCACCTGAGGGTGAGGACCAATTTGGTGACATGACACATGGACCATAAGTCAATTTCACACTTGTCAACCTTAGTGGTGGAAATAAAATATCCTAATACTCACCCAAGTCAAAGAATTCAAACAATTGTCTATTTACAAAGAGAGATAGTCATTTAAGCAACATGAACCTAAACAAATATCTTCTTGAACTCGTAGGAGAGTGAGAGTCAAAACCACTATCTCATAAAAAAATTATAATATCTAATAATGGCGTGCATTGTGAGAAAACATGCCTTAAAAGTCTAAACAAAGGTGATGAGGATAGCAAGAGTTCATTCCAAATGTTTGGTTTAGAGTTTTCAAAAATAATTTTATGAGTTTTTAATTTGTATTTTTATATTTTTAGTATTTTTGCAAAATATTTTAGTCAATTTTTTAAAATTTTTTTAGATTCACTTAATCTTGATAAAAAGTATAAAATTTATACAAAAATCTTTAAAAATTTTATTGAATACAATAAAATACAAAATATATTGAATTGTTGTATTTTTATTTATTTATATTTTTTAAAAAAATTCACAAATATTGTACTTTTTAATTGTATCTAGATTAGGTGTATGTAAAACATAAAAAAAATTACATAAAATATTAAAAAAATACTAAAAACAAAAAATTAAATTTTCAAAACAGTGAGTCAAACCAAACAGTTTTTTTAAAGAAAAAAACTACTTATTATTGTTATACGGTTTTATCTTTTTTTGAGCTTCAAATAATTTTTAAAATTTAAAATTTTCTATTTTGTTAAATTAGTTTCTATTTTTTTTAAGAAATAAAAATAAAAAGAAGTTTTGAAAACACAACCAAACAGAGTCTTTGAAAGTGTTAAATTACAGTGATTTTTTGAATGATAAAGTAATTATAGTCAATCTTATAATTTTAACAAAATTACATTTTATTTCCATGTAGTAGTAATGACATCTTCAACTATGTTAATGGTGATGGTGAAAATACTATAGTACTTTTAGATATTTTGTAATTAAATCTGTATTGATGTCAAATGACATGATTATCCTTTCTCTTAACTAATGAATTTATCTAATTACCCTCACTAGCCCAATTGTGTGTATTATTCAAGGGAAAATTAGTGAAACATCACTCTTCAACTTTAGATAGTAGGAGAGGTTTAATATATTTTTTTATTAATTAAGGACTCTTAATAATATTATTAGAAAAATTTCAGCTTCATAGAGAACGAGCTGAAATTTCTCTTCACAGAAAAATTTCTCTGTGAAAATATTAAGTAACCCCAATTACTATGAAAATGTTATATGTCATTTATTTTATAAAATTCTAATATTAGGGATCTTAAACTAGGGGTGGACATCGACCCGTTGGCCGATCCAGTCCTATTTTACTAGGGCTTGGGAAGGTGGTTTTAGCCCATACAGTCGGGTTAGGCCAACATTTTCGGTTTAAAATATTAATGAGTTGGGTTTGGGATTTATACTTTCAACCAGCTCTGCCTGGCCCGCTATTAAATTGATTATTTATTTATTTATAATACATTAAAATATAAATTTTTTTGTTGGAATCTAAACTTTATCTTTATTGATTTTATTGAAACTCACATTTGTGGTGATGTGTGAATGAATTTATTTAAAAAATCTTTCAATTTATTAACAAAATTTTTCAATTTACAATGATGCCAATATATTTACTTAAGAAATATAATG